CAAGGCAAGCAACAGAGAGCACAGTTTCCTTAGCATTCTTATGTGTGTTAGGCATTCGCACAAAGAAGCAAGTGAGACCTGCTCTTCCCAAGCTGCACCTGCAGCTGTCAGTCCTGCTGGTGATTATGTAGACTGATAACCTTCACAATGTCATGTTAACCTCGTGATCGTCTTAGGACACAGATCCAGAAAGAAAGCCTGAAGAAGGGCATTCAGTAATGCCGTAGTAGATTCCCTGCCTCAAGGCGGGAGAGCTGGCGATATTCTCACCAGCCCCTGGTTTGATGTGAGAACATTTAATGAGTCTAGAAGAAGGGATGGGACTTCCATCAGATGGCAGATCTGTGGTACAGAGTTGGGTCCATGTGTTCCTACAGAAACCCGTTTGGAGGTCTCTTAAGTGCTTTTTATAAAGGTTCAAAAACCAGAGAATTCCTTCGCTAGAAGGCTGTCCTTAGAGGGGCATAGCAGGGTCAGTCCGGCTGTTTTGTGCTTTGTAAGATGAGTTTGTACCCACTGTGCTAAGACAAGGGTGAAAATAAATTCTTGGTTTTGAATGTATCAGAGATAGCTTTTGTACTGATTTACATTCCTGTTTTTGTATCCTCAACATAGTGAAGTTGTACGTAGTAAACAAGTCAGCTAAATGTTTTAACAACATCTTTCTTTTGAAGTTCTAACAGCAAAAGTAACTTCTGAAGTGTACAGAGAATCCTTTAATGACTATTTGTACGTAATACACAAGGTTAGGGCAAGGACACACTGGCAGTGAGATGTCACTGCTGTCATCAGTGTTAATAAAGCATGCCACTACGCTTCCTTCTTTTTTTAAAGATTAACCATGCAACAAGGTATAAGACCAGTTTACTGACTGTTGCCCAGTATATTGGCACCAAGCTTCACCCTCAGCCCTTTTCCCAGCCAGCCGTCAAGACTGCCCTCCAGAAGATATCCTATTCTCAGAGTCATCCTTCACACATGCACACAATAATATAGCTGATGCTTAATAAATGCCTGTAACTTTGGTGGGAGAGAGGTGACTGGAGACTTTTACACTTAGAAAACTAGTCAGACATATAACAGGAAATCTTCGTCTATCTCTTTGCTGAAATCCTATTGATATCATAATAAGGAACAGTTATCCTTTTTTCATACTCTAATATATTTTTTCTACTACAAAACAACAAAGAAGAAAATCTGAGAAAACAAACTCGTCTCCAGTTTCTCTTTTCTTGGAGACCCGACTTCATGCCTACCCACCCATGATATAAATCCTTTACAGCAGAGCAGTCCGGAATGTTATTATACTTCGTATTGGGTGATTTGCCTGACCTTACGTCAGTGAAGACTGACTGATTAAGCAACTCTTCCTAATCTAAACAGTCCTAAGGAAACCTTTCTGGGGTCTAATCACAGTGCTTAGAGGTGACCAGGGCCTGCCTGTTAGCCTAAAGAATTATGTTCTGCATATGTCTCTGAGCTTAGTGTGGGGTCAGTTGACAGACTGGGTCTCTTCTAAGTAAAGCAACTGCATTTCTCTTGCTGCTCTCACATTGAATGGCTTGTTGGTACCACAGTGTTCACAATTCTCTGATGGTGGCATTTATGGGAGTTTTCCTTTTCCTGTACAAAATGAGGGCCCATAGATGCTGATTTGAAAATAGGCAAATCAAACCAAAGCATAAAATAACAATTAGAAAGTAGTATGGTTTCTAAAACAATGCTTTCTTTCTCTCACCTTGAGCTCACAGCTTTATCTTCATACCAAGGAGATACTTCAAGACCCCAGGCTAGTGAGTCTAAAAAGAAGCATCATCACAGCTTGAACTTAGTTAGGAACATGTACTCCTAAGTTGGAAGTCTGAGTTGGTTTAGTAATTGAAAGTAAGTTAGAGCAATCTTGGATGTAGGTCCTTGCCTTTCATGACTTGGAATACTTCTTTCCAGCCCCTTCTTGCCTGTAAGGTCTCTTTTGAGAAATCTGCTGATAGTCTGATGGGAACTCCTTTGTAGGTGACTGTCCCCTTATCTCTTGCTGCTTCTAGAATTCTCTCCTTCATTTTCATCTTGGCTAATGTAATGATGATGTGCCTTGGTGTGTTCCTTCTTGGGTCCCACTTCTTTGGGACTCTCTGAGCTTCCTGGATTTCCTGGAAGTCTATTTCCTTTGCCAGATTGGGGAAATTCTCCTTTATTATTTGTTCAAATAAGTTTTCCACTCGTGGCTGTTCCTCTTCCCCTTCTGGTACCCCTATAATTCGAATTTTGGAAGGTTTAAAGATGTCCTGGAGGTTCCTAAGCCTCTCCTCATTTTTTTGAATTCTTGTTTCTTCTTTTCTGTTTGGTCATTTGTTTCTTCCTTCTGGTCCACTCCTTTGATTTGAGTCCCAGTTTCCTTTCTATTACTATTGGTTTCCTCTGTATTTCCCTTCATTTCCCTTCATAGTTTAGCCTTCATCTGTTCCTCTAATTTGTGACTAAAGTCAACCAGTTCTGTGAGCATCCTGATCACCAGTGTTTTGAACTGTGCATCTGAAAGTTTGGCTATTTCTTCATCACTTAGATTTATCGGCTCTGGGGCTCTTAGTTGTTCTTGAGCCATGTTTTGATCTGTTTGTGCCTGTTACCTATGAGGAGCGGAGTCTTAGTTGTTTACCAGGGCGGGGCCACCCGGATCTCTGGTTTGTGATGCTGTATGTGGGGGTGGGGTCAGAGAGGGAGAAATGGCAGTCCTCTCCGCTCACCCAGACCGCCCCTGCTTGTTTATCTGAGCGGAAATGTGGGAGCCTGCCGCCTTCCGGTCTCAATGCTCGCCTCTTCACTGGTTTATCTGCACGCAAATGCTTGACCGACCGCAGACAGCCAGCTGCGCCTCTTCCCTGTGTCTGCCCATAGCTAGCCCGCACCTGGGATCTGTGCCTTCGGCTGCTTGCGCACCACCCCCGTCCGGGATCTTTTTGGCCAACCCGCTCCACTGCTGGCTTCGCCCCTCTTACCGGTTTAGCTGAGCATTTCATTGTTTTCGGACTTTGTATTGTCGATTTTCTGTGTGGTTTGGTTGCGTTTATTGTTGTTAAAATTTTGTTTTTAGATTTGGTTTGCACAGATGCAGGGTGTTTCCACCTATGCCTCCATCTTGGCAGAAGTCTGTTTGAGTCTTACTTAGTCTTTATTTTTAAAAAGTTCACTAGCCAGATGTATAAATCCTTTTGTTCATAATCTGGCATTGTGGTGGTCTAGAAGGGGAGGGTGGCAGGAAGCTTCTTCACATTAAAGGGATATTGCCTCTTAGGAGTTGGAATCTTGAATTTTGTTCAAGATTTTTAGTTCACTTTCTGTTAGTACGTATACAAGGGATTTTAGCTGTAAACATGTTCAAGTTCACGTCTCTTTTTGTTTGGTGCCAGAACCAATCTTTGAGTTGGCATGTATTTTTGTGAACTGTCCAAGTGCAATTGAGGTGTGTATTTTCTTTCATCAGAAAAGAAAAGGAAGTTTTATCTGGGCCAGTTTTGTACTTGCAGGCAAATGGCTTCCATCTCTAAGAGTAAGTTCAGATCTTGTGGTCTAGCAGAACCTAACTAGCCTTAGAAAACACTTGGGTTATTGCAATCTCAAGCCAGCCTGACTACTCCCAAGTGAGAACTGTCTAAATCTTGTCTTTCTCATCTGCCCAGACCATTAAAAAACACAGGCAGGAGAGGGGGGTAGTAAATGTTACTTGTTTTTAAATGATAGGAAACTTACCTCATATGAAAATGTACAGGATTGGTTGTGTTGTCCTTAGGAAGAGCTCTGCCAGCGTGTGCTTAATTTTCATTATTTCTCGTTAGAAGAACAGAAAGATTGCAATCCTTAGGGATGTTGAATGCTTACTTAAATATAGCCAAGGATTTTTAGACTGTCCTAGGCTAGGAATCTTCAGCATAGCTAAGTTAGACCAACTTACCTGATATCTTCCTGGATATTTTTTTTTAAACTAGTGACATCTAAACTAAGTTTATAATTTTGAATTGCCCTGTGTTGACTGTTGCTTCATGTTTTGCTTTCTTTATACTCGTGTATTTATTTGTGCATTTTTTAACATTATTAGTAAGGGGCAGTTGATTTTGTTGTCGTCGTCATCGTTCTTAGGAGCTTTTATTTCAGTGCATTTTTCAAACTTCTAAAGGCTACTTGTTGACACACTGCATTACACCAAAAGGCTATTTAGGATTTTTGCTTCATTTCATGTTTAGCTATGGTAAATGTTTTAAAGGTACAACAGTTGACTTCACTTTTCTTGAAGGGACAAATATTTCTGGCTTTTTGAAGTGCCTTTAGATATCTAGCTCAGAATCTAATTCATGTTTATAAGATTTGCTTTTATTATAAAACTCAAAATAAAAACATGTACCAGAGTTAGATATTCTCAACAAGCTACTTAGTTAACATATGAGTTAGACTCTCAGGAACCCATTGGTAAAGTGGTTCTGACTTTGAGATATAGGGTTAGTTTTTTAGTTTTTAACAGAGTATTTTATTTACAAGTTTCTGACACTGGTGAGCGTAACCAAGAAGTCATTTGCTTTGCTCTTCTGAAATTTGTTTGTAATACTAGCTTTATATTGAAGTGCCCATTCCTCTTAATTTAAGTTTGCATATTTGAGGCCAGTAACAACCAAACTACTTTTTTCTGACTTCAAGATATTATTTTCCCGCTTTCATTACCTCATGCATTCAGTCACCAGTTGTCACTCTTTGAGTTCTTGCATTCTTGTGGTCATTGTTCCCCCTGGTTCTAATTGAGTGCTGTTGTAATGTGCAGATCTGACCAAGAAGATGTACAATTAACTGTCCCCTGCTGCTGCTCTAACAACAGATGTCTCCTTTTCATTCCAAAACACCTAAAGAAACATACTTGGGTACTTTACTATGGAAATTATTGGAAGGAATTTATATATATATCACAGTTTTATGCATATGCCTCAATTTAAGAGAGAAAATATTTTGGTCTTTAGCATGCTGGACTATGATACAGAGAACCTGAACTCTGAAGAAATCTATAGTTCTTTGCGTGGAGTAACAGAAGCCATTGAAAAGTTTAGTTTTCGAAGCCAAGAGGATCTCAATGAGCCAATTAAACGAGATGGCAAGAAGGACTGTGATATAGTAAGTATCCCCAGGCTAGTAGAGAACTGTTTGTTAAGTGATAATTACCGATTCTTCTGAACACTGACTACTGTTATTATTGAGCTTCATTATTATTTTTAGCCTGTAGTCAAAAATATTTTTAGAGGCCCAAGGCAGTTTGAGTTTCCCTTGCTATCTTTGTGAAGAATGTTAAATACCTTTTTCCTCAGTTTGCTTTTTGTTAATGCTGGACATATTTTTGTTCCTATGTTGTGATAAAAGTAGTAAGCCTGAATCAGATACCATTGTGGCTGGGAGCTCTAGTAGCATGCAGAAGCAGGCAAATTAGCTGGAGGTTATCTTTGGGATATCTAAGCAAACATATCCTTTAAGGCCTGTTTATATGCTCTTGTGAAGTTAAGACCGGTGAATTAGGCTGAGATTTAATTAGGTAGAGATTTAAGAGGCATTGATTGACTAGTTGCTAGAGCCATCTTTTCTTTGAGAATGGGCCCACCATTTAGACTTTTCATGTTCCTCTTGAATAAATTTTACACATAGTCACAATCCACAATTTACAAATTTAGTTTCTCCCAAGAGTCCATGGGATTTTGTGAGTGTAGTTCAGAGCAGAGTTGAAAATGGAAAAAAATTACAGAGGGTTGAAGAGTGACTCAAGTAACAAACTGGGTACTCCAGGGCGTTTCACATGGCAGAGACCTGACCTGTATGAATGCTGTTGGGGCCAGTTGAGAGAAAAATGGTGACTATGGAAGGGAGGGCAGTAGATGACTGGTGGACACAGGTTATTGAGGACATGGGATGGATGAGGTTTGGGTGCTGGTAGAGGAATTGGCCTTGGCCAGGAAGGAGGGTGAGTGGGTTGCAGTGAGGAAAGTGGAAAAGATTTCCAAGGTAATGGGAATGGGGCTCTGATTAGTGAACAGAAGTTCTTCCAGGAACAGTAGAAGCCTTAGAAGAAGGTGGATGCCTGAGGCATTACTTCCCCCAATTATAAATATAATATGTAGCCAACATATAGTATTTTGAAAATGTAAAAAGAGCTCTCCGTATCTAGAGATAATTAACATTAAGATTTTACTGTATACTTCTCTATTCCTTTATGTGTATTTATATAGTAATAGTTTTGGGGTATATGCAGAGTGTTTTTTAAATAAAATAGGCATCATAGTGTGTGCATCTTGTCTAGCATAGGAAGTGAGTACTTTCCCCTGTCAGTACTCTTGTGTGTGGATTTTTACGGCTGGATGATAATTCACATGGATGTATCATAGTCCCTATTTTGGAACATTTAAGTGTTTCAATTTTTTGAAGCATACAAGTACTGTGATGAAAGTTGGAAGAATGAAGCATGGTAGGAAGAAGTAAAAACAGCCAGGAACAGGAAGCCTCAGGGTCATCAAGGGGGTGAGAAGCGTGGAAGGACTGGAATGTGAGAGCTGCAAGGTTAGAAAGAGAACTGAACATAACTTTCAACCTAAGATTTTGCCACTTGTCGCCAAATTTTTAACTAAGAAGTTGAGGTAGATATAAAACTTTGTTGAATGTAGACTCAGGAGCCCACATCTTTTTAAGCTTGACTAGCAGACCCAGTTGAATGAGACAGAAGTTCATAAGGGCAGATTCAGTGAGAGGATGGTTCTCAAAAGCAGAGACAAAAACATGAAACACGTGAGAGAAAGTCCATCCTTAGGACTAATTACACAAGTATAACAGAACCTATATTTGAGGTTGCATTTTACTTCAAAATTGTTCTGCTTTATTTCAGGTAGAAATTTCAACACTTAATGCTAGAAAGGGTATGAGGAACTAGTGTAATATCGGCACGGCAAATTGATATAGTAGTTTTGGAGTTTAGTAAAAGTAATTTTAAGTTTTATATCCCTTATTTAATAATTTAGCTTTTAACAAACTCAGCAAAAGAAGATATTTATACAAAGTAGTTTATTTTAGCATTATATTTAATGGCCAAAACAAAAAAACATTTAAAAAAATCATTAGAAGGGGAATCATACAGTGAATCTTACTAAAACACAAGTAGAGCCCTGGCTGGTGTGGTTCAGTGGATTGAGCGCAGGCCTGCAAACCAAAAGGTCGTCGGTTCCATTCCCAGTCAGGGTCATGCCTGGGTTGTGGGTCTGCGCCCCAGTTTGGGGGTACGCAAGAGGCAATGGATCATTATATCTCTCGCACATTAATGTTTCTTCCTCTCTTTCCCTTCCCCTCTCTCTAAAAGTAAATAAAGTCTTTAAAAAAATAAGTAGGAATAATGGTGTTATTAAACGTTATGGTTATAAAAAGTTTATGTACACGGGGTATGCTTACACTATGAGAAAAGCAAACTATATGATGGTATGAGCACTGGGATGGCCATGCTGTAAAATATGCATGTAGACAAGGATGGGGGTGATAAAGTTTAAAAGGTAACTTTTGTTAAAAGTGATAAAAATTAGCTTTATTTTTTAAATGTCTTTAATCTTTAAAACCTCTTATGAATGTTTTTTTCCACTATAATAATACATTTTATTTTAAGAAGAACATTACAAAGAGAAAAATACTAAAATCATTCATGTATTATCTTCCCTGAGAAAAAACTTAAATTAAGTCATTTTTTTTCATATGTATGTAGTATGTGTGTGTGTGTGTGTATATATAATTTGCCTTTTAATAATTATATTAGTATACAGTTTTGGGGGGGGTCAGGTAACCAAATGCATTTCAGCAATTTCATTAGATATATATCCAAAAAATTGAAAGAAGGGACTTGAACACATTCCTCTATAAGTGTTCATAGGAGCATTAGTCACAATAACCAAAAGATAGACCAATCCAGTATTCATCAACAGATAGATTGAAAAAATGTGGTATATACCTACAATGGAATATTATTCCGTCATAAAAAGGAATATAATACTGACACGTTACAACACAAATGGAACTTGAAAATACTATGTAAATAAAATAAGCCGTACACAGAAAGACAAACACTGTGTCCTTCCACTTATGTGAGGTAGCTAGAGTAGTCACATTCACAGAAACAGAAAGCACAGTAGAATAGAGGTTATCAGGGCCGGTAGGGGTGGGCAGGGTGTTATTATATCATGGATACGGACTTTTGGTTAAGAAAGATGAAAAACTATTGCCCCAAATATAACAGTGGTAATGGTTATATGCAACATGGTATGATATTAATGTGACTGAATTGTACACTTAGAAATGAAGGGCTTGAAATATATGTATTTTATACCACAATTTATAAAAAACATGTATAAGCCCCAGTGCAGTCTGGTTGTCCCAAAACATTTTTACTTGTTTTTTTTCTCATGTCTGGGATGAGGAGAATGACAGTTTTGCTCTGTTCCCAGAGCTCAGCCCATACTTGATCTTGTTACAGTGCCACCCCACAAACGGTGCTAGACAGGCCATTGTGGCTTAGAAGAAAGGACCCCTGAGAGTGAAGACAGTCAGAAACATGACACAAGGGACAGAGAACCAGGGAGTTAATTTGTTGAAGACAAGATTCAGGATACATTGAAAAAAAATTTTTCAGAAAATAATAAATACCTGTTCTTTGACCCAACAGAAAAACCAACTCTGAGAGTCAGAAACATCCAAAGGAAGAATGATCTGCCTAGGGGATACTGAGTCCTCCATCATTAGAGATTATTAGCCCTTGTTTGGCTCACCAGTTGGTAGAATATATACCAGGAATTCTTGGACAGTTGAACTGCTTTAGATCTTGTGATGGTTACTGGGAGAGTGTTGATGTTGTGTCAGGACCCCAGTGAGGAAACCCTTAATGTTTGTAGAGAAAGTTATAGACTAAGAAGGGAAAGGGACAAGCCAAGAAGCACGAATAGAGGGCTCATAGGCATGGACAATGAGGGGGAATTAACTGTAGGAGTGGGAGGGACAGGGCAGAGGAGAGCACTGGGGAAAAAAGGTGGGACAAGTGTAACTGAACAATTTAAAAACGAGAGAAAAACAATTTAAAAACGGGGCTAACAGTGTTGGTACATGAGATTTCTGAAGAACTGGGGGTATGTTGTGTACATCCTTGGTTTCCAAGGGACTTTCCATGTTATTAATATCTCAAAAAATATTTGAGTGAAGTTAACCTGAAATACTAAGAAAACAGATTTTACATGTAAATAATGAAAGAAGAGACGAAAATATAAGCATGTTTCTAGTTCCCTTTAAGGTAGTTTATGAATTAGGTATTTACAAATTGAAATTCTAATGACTGTTCTTTGGTTAGTGGCCTGATTTCAAGTGAAAAATCTCTGGCTCTCCTATCAGTTCTGAAAATTTAAAGACACATTTGTTAAAAGTCCTAAAAAGAAAGTGACAATGTTCTGTGCTCCAGGTATCCCGGGATGGTGGAGTTGCCTCCCCTGCCACTGAGGGCCGGGGAGGCAGTGATGTGGTGGAAGGAGGCAGAACTGCTCTGGATAACAAGACCTCCCTCCTCAACACCCAGCCTCTGCGCACCTTCCCAGGGCCACGGGTGCGAGACTACAATTTGTATCCATACTCAGACACCATCAACACCTATGATAAGACAGCCCTGAAGGAAGCCGTGTTTGATGATGACATGGAGCAGCTTCGAGATGGTGTGTCTTTCTTTGTTCTATTGTCCCCCATCCAGAAGTTCCTTCCATGGGGTTCCCCTCTTGTAAGAACAACTCTGGGCATACTGGTCAAATGGAAATGGAAATGTTGGGTCTGTTCTGGGTAGTCCTTTGTTCAGCAGCTACATGTTGAGCTCCTACCAGTGCTTAGGCATGGAAGACAGCAGTGAACAAAAGTATGCACAGCCCCTGCCCTCTAGAAGCTTATAGTCTAGTCTCAGAGGCAGTCAGGAAATAAGCAGTCATGCAACTAACCTCAAGTTGCAGCTGTGACAACTGCAGCGAAGGAAGGCTACCTGTACCCATCAGGGAAGGCTTCCCTAGGAACTAGGACCTGAGTGGAGATCGAAAAGACAGGGGAGCAGGAGTTAGTGAGGTGGGGAGTAAAGGCTCCAGCAGTCCCAGCACTGGGCTCAGCATTTGTAATGGCCCCTGATGTGCCAGTCCTCAGCTATGGAAGTAAGATTCTGAAGCACCACTGGAAGTCTTCCCTCTTCTCCCACACCAGCTTATTCACCAGGTTTTCCTGCAGTGGCTTCAGTTGACTTCTGTACTGTGGTTGGGAGTTAGGGGATCAAATATTTACTGAGCTTTTGAATTACCTTGGGATTGCTGCTACACTTGAGTTTTACACATTATCTAACTGAGATAGTGGTGATTGTTTCCATTTTAAAGATTAAGAGAAGTTCAGGAAGGTTAAGTTACCTGCCTCAAATATAACAAACTCAGTATGGAGTAGAACTAGTCTGGTTTTTTCTGACTTTGTTAAGACCACTGTTCATTATTGAGTAACAAGTGATTAAGTATATTTTGGTATGATCATAATTTTATTTGGCACTTAGTTATTTGTTTTGTTTTTTACCTCATTGTCATGTTCACACATTTTGGTTTATTTCAACTTAATAGTCATTTTAGCTGTCTTCCTTGACAAAGTAACTGCTCGAGCTAAAGCCAACCCAAATTAATAGTAATTTTTAAAAAAATAACTGTTTTATTACCTCCCTTTTTAAAAAATTTTGAGCAAAAAAAATTAGAACTCTAAAGAATTAACATTTAACTGAGTGCCTGCTGTGTGTCATGAGGTGAATGACTGGCCAGGGACAGGGAGGTAAATGAGTTGGTCCCTGGTCTCAAAACCTCAAGGCCTGTCGGGGAAAACAGACTCAGCATGGTCACACTAGGAAGAGGGGAGGGCCATGCTGGAGGCATACGTGGGGTTCAGTGGGGCATGAAAGACTGAAAACTGCACTCTATTGGTGGATCCAGCTATGATGGAATGTTAAGTTGGTGCTCCAGTTGTGTGAAAGCAGAAATTGTGTCCAGTGGTTGAAAGCATATTCCTCTGGCTATTAATTGCTAGTTGTTGGTGGGTAGCAGTTCCGTATATACCCAAGCATCTGTTTACTGGGCAGTAGGCAATGATACTGAATTTATTATGACTTGCACTTTCTAGAGTACTGGACGGTTTCCTTTCATTGCTCATAGAATTGGTGCATCATTTAACTTAGCCATTTGTTGGTCTTGTTGGAGATGGAATAGGGATTAGGATATTGGTCGTTATTTATTCAGCAAATGTATAGTAAAAGGCTTAGAGAAAAATGTAGGATAGGAGGGGGAAATGATAGAGGTCTTTAACGTTTCAAACTTTGTCATGCATTTGTTTCTCAATTTTAGAATATGAAGAAATACACAAATACAAACTTAAGTAGTTCTTGATGGCTCATGTGATTCATTTCTTCATCCTTCCTATTTGAAGTGAATTCAGAATTGAGGTCTCTTAGAAGAATATGCAGAGACAGAGGATGTGCTCTTCTGCCTCGTGAACTGTGGTTCAAGCCCTTGCAAGCGGTTATGCTAAGAGATCTCGGCCAGTTTTACAGTCTGCCTTGATTGTATTTGTTTACTGCACTAGTTCCTAAACTGTGTACATTTCCAGAAAAGGGATGAATCTTAATTGTAACAGTACCTTAAGAAGAATCTGTGTATTTCAGTGGATTTGGTACTAGGCAGAGACTGTTCCAATTATAGGCCTGACTTAGGACTGTTGCAGTGGAAAGAGTTTGGATAAGGGAGACAGTCATGGATGGGCTTTTGGAAGGGTTCTTTGTCTAAAATTCACTGAAATAGCAGTTTCTCTACTTGTCTGAAATGGAAAGGGAAAAGATGGCAAGGCAAGGTAGTGACATTGAATATTGGTGCTTGATACCTGTTCTCCCACCTCAGTTGTCACAGTTAGCTTGGTGAGATGATGTGCTGAGTCTGAAGCCTGGACTGCACAGCAGGATGAAGGGGTGGATGGGGAGAGACTGAAGAGTGGTGGGAGGACTGCAGGACGTCACTGAGGAGGCACCTGGAGCCAGGCATTTCCTTGTGCAATGACTTCTGTCCTGTGTGCCTCCCAGTGCCCATTGACCATTCTGACCTGGTAGCCGACCTTCTGAAAGAGCTGTCCAACCACAACGAGCGAGTGGAAGAACGGAAAGGTGCTCTCCTGGAGTTGCTCAAGATCACCCGGGAAGACAGCCTGGGCGTCTGGGAGGAGCACTTCAAGACCATTCTGCTCTTGCTGTTGGAGACACTCGGAGACAAAGATGTGAGCTCCTTTTGTTCTTACATTTCCCCCTTCCACGGGCGAGTTCAGTCCTGTTCTTGTGGCATTTGGCTTCTGCTCTGTCTATATCATGCTTACTGTTTATATCAAAACACGTGAAATATTTTCTGAGCACCAGTAAGGGAATGTTTTCGTCAGAGACAGGACCCATCCTACCTTATGTGCAAGGTTTTTTTGTAATTGGCTTTGTTGAGGGAAACTTATTCCTGAATCAGGTCACTTTAACACAAAATTTATTAAAACATTAGCAAAAATAATCATTTTTTCCAATGAGCTTTTTTCCATGAGTTTTATTTATGTTTCACATTTATTTGAGAAACAGAGAAGTTCCTTTTTTAAAGACCCTACAAAATGCTGCGTTCTGTCACATTTTATCTTGGTTCACCCCTGTGTGTCTCAGCAGTTCCAGTAACCCAGAATGGTCAAGCAACAGGTTTAGGAACCATGGCTTATTATTGTTACCTATTATTTCCTATTGTTGTTTTTAAAATAAAAGGCCCTCTTCACACTGTGACATTTGAATGTGACAAACTAGGCATCTACCCTGTCACTCCTAAAGGAAGGCGGAATCCAGTCAAAGCCCTGCCTCTTCCCCTTGTGCAGCTGGTCCCTTCCACAGGACAGGAGTCAGTGTAGGGTTTGAGAAGTGAACTCTGCCCTCTGCACTGGGCTTTGTTTCAGCCAGTAGAAACAAAAATAATGTAAATGTGGTGAAGAGCTCTGCTGGCAGTACTGAATGGAAATCTGACACAGCCCATGGTAGAGGTCATGCCCAGGGTCACAGTGGTGGTGACTTGAATGGAAGACAGGTGAGCAGGAGGCTGGTTGAATGTCATGGTGACTCAAGTCACTTCTGATTTTTAGGATTAGTGGTTTGGTATAGGGCTGAGTAAAGCTAGAGAAGAATGGTGACAAACGATCTGTATTCACTTTTTTTTTTAAACAAAGTATTGGCTTCTGAAGCACTTGTCCTTGGTTGGGCTTTGTTGTCGGGGGATAGATTGATGTCATGTAGAGGGCAGTAGATGGTGTGTTAGTGTGTGAATGGTACGGTTGAGTGACAGAGAATCAGGATGTACTTTTTGGCTGTGTTTAGTATAAACTCCACTCTCTTTTAATGAGATTAGGAATGTGTTTGGAATGGCTTTCCTCCAGGTGCATGACTCAGCCTTGAGGTCCTTCAGCAACTTGAAGCCTGGACAGATTCCCCTCCCCATGATCTCATCACACAGAAGGCTGGGAATAATGACAGGGCTCCAATTGTCCTTACAGAATTTACAGTCTTACAGGTCATGTTGTTGCAGTGTTCAGATGCTTTTCACCTGTCCTTTTGTACATTCTACAAAGGGAAATTTGCATATCTTAGCCTCAGGAAACCTGAAATCCCCCAGAGATATATTGTCCTCATTTAGTTTTCATTCGGCTCATTAAAGAAACCTTCATCAGGTCCCTCTTAGGTGCTTGGTCCTGGGATGTCAACACAGGCACAGGGCCTGCCCTCACAGAGCTGGCCATCTAGAGGGCCTCTGTCAGGTGTGCAGTGTAATCTGTGTTGAGGTGGCTGCAGGATGCCATTGAATCCCAGAACTGGGTGCTTGGTTCTCCCCGGACCCAAACAACTGTACATTTAGTGAAGTACTGTATACTGAGTGCTGATGTCTTCCTTTCCTCTTGTACACCAGCATTCCATTCGAGCACTAGCATTGAGAGTTTTGCGGGAAATCCTGAGAAACCAGCCAGCAAGATTTAAAAACTATGCCGAGCTGACCATCATGAAGACTCTGGAAGCCCACAAAGACTCCCACAAGGAGGTGAGCCAGGCCCGAGGCCCAGGAAGCCTGAACAAGTCTTCAGCACAGTTAGTTGTGTGGGGAAAGAAGAGTGCCAATCACTGTAAGTCTTCAAAAAGGGAGTCCCTTCCTTTGAACTGAGCCCATGCCATAATACAGGGTGAAAATCCCATTGCTGCCATGGTAGCTGAGCAGCAGTGCAGTTCAAGGACCAGTGTGTGACTTGGTAGGTTTCTAATTCCCTTTCTATGTGGACAGTGGGCTTGGCCTGTTCCTGAGAGATTTCCCATGTCAGTGGTTCCCATTTCTTTGGTCAAAAGGAGGGGTCTTTCATTTCCTTTTGGCATTTAGCATCTGGCAGTGCAATGTGGGAGATTGAGATTGGCTTTGAAGATAAAGACATCCTAGACCAAGTCTCAGACAAGTCCTAGAACTGATGTTTCTTTGCTCCAGAGCCTTGGAGAACTTGTTTCACCTTCTGAGCCTCACTTTCCTTATGTGTAAAATAGAGATGGCTGTTATTACCAAGTTTTTTGGTAATTCCTGTGAGAATTAAATGAGACAGCCAGTGATGGTTCCTGGCCCAGTGCTTGATGAGAGTAGGTACTACACTGTGTTGGTCCCCTTCCCTTCTTCCCCTTCCAGTGTGCTCCTCTTTGGCTATGGTATGCCTTCCCCACTAGCTTCTGAACTTTTCTAATACCAGCTAGAAAACTTGATATTACAAACGATCTCTGACCCCAAAGTGAGAGACATAATCGCTTGCTCAGGTCAGTCTCTTAGCTCACATATGACTATTTCATGAGCATACTCATGGATTAAGGGAATTGTGCTTGGAGCAATTCTTATATCTGCAAAAAGAATTAGACCCTAAATCATAGTTTTTCTCTGTTCAGCAGCTATATGACTACTGAAAACCAGTGGCCTATTTGGCCTCCTCAAATCCCCACCGTGATTGCAGGCCCAGCAAGGGTGGAGGTGGTCCTTGTGCTCTGTCCAGGCATCTCCCCACCTAACAGGTCTGGCATAACACAGGTACTTACATGATAGGTGTGTTTTCAAACCAGTAACTTACACTTTCAAAATCTGGCTTGGTTGTGTGATGGTGATAATCACTAGTGTTTGAACAAAATGCTCTTCACTTACAATAACTTACTTGAAAAATGTGAGGACCAGATGAACTAACATAAACAACAGTGATTTCTGGGTGAAGAAGGAATTTCCCAGGAGGCACCATAATTGGTGAGGCAATACATGGTGCCTACTGTATCACAAGATACAAACCGGATCTTGGGTTTCTTTTACAGGGCAACTGACTTGTGCTTTTTGTTTTTTTCTCTTTGTCTTTTTAAACCACACTAGCTTCTCCTTAATGAGAATACATGAACACACACATATACATACATATATAAATAAATAAAACCAACATTCTTTTACATATATGATATTAGTTGTTTTCTTTGAGAAGGACATACCTAGAATATGGCATTAAGGTGAAAACTAAGCCATCTACAAGGTGTGGCACTTGGACCCTAAGAAATACAAGTTAACAGTTAAATAATCCATTTGCTGTTTACTGTTTTCTTGAGGGATCTTACTGTTTTTTTCCCTGCCAAATAAGAAATCTAGGAGAGAAAGTTCTTAGTTGTGAAGTCCTTTAAATTGCCTAAGTAACAAAAGCAGAAAGTATAATTCCTATAACCCAGGGGTCTCCACGCTGCTGTCGCTGATGACCTGATAAAGGAGGTGGAGGAAACACTATGTTCTGAAAGGTTGCCTGTATTGGCAGGCCGCCCTGCTTTGCATAGTTTCAGACTCACCTTGATGCAGTTGCCCTTGTTGTTTCCGTTCTGAAACTTGACTCTGTCACTTTGCCAGAAGCTCCTAACTTGGGCTTGTGTATATGTAGATTTAGATTTTGTTTTTGTTTTTCTGTTCCTTTAAAATTATTTCAGTCTTTCTCTTATTTTAACCAGTCTATCTCTGTTTCTTGTTTTTTTGTTTTTTAGGGCAAAATAGTTTGTGTTGTGGCCAATCATGTCGGCATATAATATTGCACACGATATTTCTCTAGTCATTATACTTTCTTATTATTACATTCAAACATTTATTCAAACACTATTTGAATATTTATTGGAAAGGATCCAAAATGTTTCTAGACCTAGTTATTATATTAGTCATATGGAGGCAGAGTCTGCTTTCCTGTCTAAGTACTTCCAAAGTGTATTCATCCCAGAACTCTCCTCTCAGAAGAAGCTAGTTGGTTTTGTATTCATAGACAAAACAGGTCTCAGCAGGAAGTGAAGAGCATGAGACCTGGGAGGCTGACATACCTTGGCACCTGATGTCCTCCCCTGCCTGCTGTGGTGGTGGCCATACCTGGTGCACACTGTCATTCTGGCTGTGGCACTGTAGCATTGCAGTACAGCTTTTTAAAAATGCAATTTCTATAAATTGAAATTTATCATAAAAGTCCTAATGGAAGATGATGACAAGATAGCTTCTTTTATCATCTTACCAGCTATAGTATGTTTTATCAGGGTCTTTTAAAAGGAGCTGAGTGTATAAAACATTTCTTTTTAAATATTGAAAATGTATCAGGCACTAAATTTATCTCAGACATCATCCACCCTAAGCTAGCATGTACATTTCTACAGAAAGCAAGGTAGAGGATTTGGATACCAATTTAGAGTCTTTATTTTAAAAGTTGGTGTGGGGGTTTTTTACTTACTTAAATTTTTTCATTACAGTTGACATACAATATCATACCAGTTTCAAGTGTACAACCCAGTGATTAGACATTTATATAACTTACGATGTGATCACCCCGATAAGTCTAGTACTTGTCTGACACCATACATAGTTATTTGAGCCATGACATGTTTTCATATTTCCTACTGTAATAAGTAATTCTGTTTCATTCAACTCCTTGTTTTTATCGTTTTAGTGAATAAAATATACTATAGCATTTCAGTGCCTTCCTAATGAAGGTACTTAATGGTTTACACTAGTGTTAGCTTTTCCAAACATGATTAAAAGGGATAAAGCTTTGTTAGTGACCTTTTAAAGTCTTAAGTCCATTTTCTGTTTTTCAAATAAACTCTATTAATCTTAACTCTTCTCAGAATTTGTAATCTTATTTGTTAGGATTGGTACAGAATCTCATTTTTATTGATTAAGAGAAGATTTAATAAAAGAAATGCTGTCAATGAGATTCTGGACTCATTGTGAGATAAAATCTTGAGATAGAAAACCTTGTTTTCAGTCCAGCTTCTCCTCTCCAGCTACGTTGTTTTCATCACCTCTCTACAACCCTGCATAAACATGACTTGTGAGAATTAAAGTGATATGGAAATATGCTGTTAAAAAATGTGCTGTACAAATATTGCTACATAAACTGTTTTCAGACATCCTTATGTCTGTCAGAAGACTCATTTCTTGGAGTAAGTAGTTGATATGCTAATTATTGATTATTTTACACACATTTAGTGTAAGAATTGTTCCCAGTCATGTGTCTTGCATATAAATTTACAAGAATAACCAACTCTATTTCTTAAGGATAATCTATAATTGAAACTTTTTGATAATTCGTCTTCTGAATTTGACCTCATTAGTAAATGTTCTGAAGACACTTGCCTATTGAAAGAGGAAATGTCGTCATCATTGTATGTCATTATACTAAAGTCTCGGAGTGTAAAGCATCAGAGTCCAGCTTCAGGTCAATGCATTGTGTGGACCTAGAGAAGTTACTTTAACTTTCTGGACCTCGGTTTTTCTTATCTGTTAGCCCAGGGAGTGTACTAGATGATTATCTGTGTCACATCCAGCCTCAAGATAATAGAAGTTGCTATTGAGTAATACACCTAAACCTCATAGATTGTAAATCTCCAGTTTTCTATGGGACCAGTCTTAAGATGTGGCCAGAGGCTCATTCCCTTTGTAAGTTACTACTTTTTTCTTTTTTAATTTTTATTTTATTAATTATGCCATTGCAGTTGTTCTATTCACCCCCCTTCATTCCCCTCCACCCCCACCGTTCCCGCCCCTTTAGTTTATAACCACGTGTCTCAAGTTCTTTAGATTCTATATTTCCCATGCTATTCTTGCCCTCCCCCTATCTATTTTCTACCTAGCATCTATGCTACTTATTTTCTGTACCTTCTCCCCCCTTCTCCTCCCACTCCCCTGTTGCTAACCCTCCATGTCATCTTCATTTCTACGGTTCTGCTCCTGATATAGTTGTCCTCTTAGTTTGCTTTTGTTTTAGGTGTGGTTGTTAATAACTGTGAGTTTGCTGTCCTTTCACTGTTCATCTTTTTTTATCTTCTTTTTCTTAGATAAGTGCCTTTAACATTTCATATAATAAGGGCTTGGTGATGATGAACTCCTTGAATCTGATCTTATCTGAGAAGCGCTTTATCTGCCCTTCAATTCTAAATGAAAGCTTTGCTGGATAGATCAATCTTGGATGTAGGTCTTTGGATTTCATGACTTGGAATACTTCTTTCCAGCCCTTTCTTGCCTGTAAGGTCTCTTTTGAGAAACCAGCTGACAGTCTGATGGGAAGTCCTTTGGAGGTGACTGTCCCCTTAGCTCTTGCTGCTTCTAGGATTCTCTCCTTCATTTTAATTTTGGCTAATGTAATATGATGTGCCTTGGTGTGTTCCTTCTTGGATCCAACTTCTTTGGGACTCTCTGAGCTTCCTGGATTTCCTGGAAGTCTATTTCCTTTGCCAGATTGGGTAAATTCTCCTTTATTATTTGTTCAAATAAGTTTTCCACTGGTGGCTGTGCCTTTCCCCCTTCTGGTACCCCTATAATTCGGATGTTGGGGCGTTTAAAGATGTCCTGGAGGTTCCTAAGACTCTCCTCATTTCTTCGAATTCTTGCTTCTTGACTCTTTTCTGTTTGGTCCGGATTCCGCGCTCCTGAGTCCGTCTGACCGAGTCTTCCTGTGCAACCCCGCTCCACCAGCTGCTGGTTTCGCCCCTCTTACCGGTCAGGCTGAAGAATTTGTTGTT